AATATTAGGCTTCATGAAACCAGCAAGATCATCCTGGCCATCATCCGGGCATGACCAAATTTCTACTCAGCCAAGTGGATACAACCCAACAAAAATGAGTTTTATTCGCCATGCTGATCAGGGTGAGATGGACATGTGCCGCACAATGTGTTTGGGTCCTGAACTTCGGGTCGCTCGGCTTAACGGGCAGGCGTGAACACATTTTGTTTGTGTCAGCAGTTCCCGTGGACCAATCATTCATCCATGAGGGCAATTTTCTGTTCCATTGTCCAACTATAGAAGTGTTGAACACATTTGGGTATGTCTGAAAATGGGGTATACCCCCAATTATAGCCATTTAGTAGGGATAATGATCATTAACCATTGGGTGTAGGGGGTACACTATTTTCAGTGCTGAACACATTTCATGCAGCTGGACCTGCGGCCATTTTTGCTTGTGGAGATTTGCTTCCAAAATCTCCCAAATTGCATGTAGATGAACAGTGACCAGCGGAGGCCTATTGGTTACTAGTTACTAATTGATACAAGGTGGTGATTACTAGTTGTAAGTTTTATACACATCGTTATACTGCTATAAATCCTGGTCAACCAACTTATAAACCCACTCAACTAACTAGGGCATGACCCTTGTTGGGTTTATTGGAGCTGACAAATTCGGAATTCATTGGTTTTGCGGTCACATTCCCATGTTCCCCATGTTCAATTTATAAACACTATCACTACATATACTTATGAATCCAAGTAGTATGATTCAGGCGGTCAAATATCTTCTCAGGAATTATTAGGATCTGTAGGCTGTAGGGATGAACTTTTGCTGTGGTGAATATGCAACGTTTTGTTGTTTCACAACGTCAACATGATTAGTTGACTCAATCCTGACATTTTGGGTACACGGATCCCAGATCCCAGTGTTTTGGTTGAATCTCGCAATCGATTTTAGCTGAACTCATCGTGTTTGGCTAAACCCTTGCTTGCTGATTGTTTAACCCCTCCATCATCTTTGCCAAAGCCGATATAACAATTCCCGGTTTCCAGATTCATTTGTTTTACGGAACCCTCATCCTATGACACATCCCATCATATCACATCATATGCCAATGAAACTTGACTTATACCTCTGCCAAATCTCCAAATATTCCACGTCGCATCGCAGGGCGGAAGGTTTCTAGGGTCGACACCTGTTAAATGTGTCCTCGAATAATTATATATTCGAACTTGTTGCATTGAACCCCATGATTTGTGTTGAAACCCCATTTTAGCCCGCATTTATCTTCTGGTAAACTAAAATGGTTATTAAAAAAATCACCATGTTTATATACTAGGTAGATCAACTATAAATATATATATATATATATCTATAGATGGGTTATGTTCATTCATTTTCCATGGCAAACTGTCAAATTACCAGAGGCTAAACTAAGGTTATATCATGAAATCAGCCATAAATGTGATAATCCCATTGTTTTGGTGATTTCCCAACATTTTTTCCCATGTTTTTTCCCATGAGTTTCCATCATTTTCCCATCATTCTCCCATCATTTTTGAATAGCAAACTGTAAAATTCCCAGAGGCTCTGCTGGTTGAAACCTCCTTTAGGCAGATCCTGGGGACCAGTACCTTGCTCGGCGACTTGGCGCACTTGGCGAAGTCATCCTTGGCGTTGAGGGTGGGGTTTCATGTGTTTATAGTGTTTGATATGGTTTACCCTCTGGTGAACAGACAAAAAACATCAAAAAGCTATTGAAAATGGCCATGGAAATAGTGGATTTTCCCATTAAAGATGGTGATTTTTTGGTGGTTGGTGGTTTGGAACATTTTTTTGTCTATGTATTGGGAATAATAATCCCAACTGACGAACTCATATTTTTCAGAGGGGTGGCTCAACCACCAACCAGTTATAGTGATTTGATATGGTTTAATGGGATTATAATGGGATTACAAAGGGATTATAATAGGATAATTCATAGCGGTTTAAAGGGATTTGATGTAATTTGTGAACCCCTGCCCCCTAACCCCAGAAACCATGGTGGATGCAGGGGATAAAACAACATATGTGTCACCATATAAAGTGTTTTTAATTATTTAGTGCGAATGAGGGATGGGATTACTTCATCAAAAGAAGCCAAGTCAGCCAGGTTTCTGGATTTACCCATGAAAAGTGCTGGTTAAACCAGCCAAATATGATGGTCAACCATCAAAGAGAGGGGCATAATCAAGAAAAATTGAACAGTGGCTGCTGAACCCTTGTTACATTGTTGGTTGACGATTTTCTCCAGGATTATTCTTTCCTTTATACATCGGGGATGGTCGTAATCCATGGGGAATCTTGTTCTGAACCAACTGGGTTTTCGTTCAACTGATTCGGAGTCGTTGAAGCTGCGGCTTGCAGCCCCACAATATAGGCGGCACAGGGCCACCCAATGAATGTGCAAATTGATGACATCAAACTTAGGGTTAACCCGATGGAATGTCAGCAAATGCATCATCTTCTCTTCGTTCAACTCGTAGAAGATGGTCAGATTTGATGTCACCAATCCTGCAGCAAATTATGCATCGTGAATGGATCATGGTTGCCATTGGATTCCCTGGTTGGATCCAAATAGATCAACAATTTAGATTTTGTTAGCCATTGTCTTGCACCTCTGGATCTGATGTTAGAATTGGCACTGGGCTTCATGATTTCTCCCAATTTCTTTTGATTTGGTTTTGGAAAGAATATTGTACATAATGACTTGCAATGCCTGTATCAATTTCAGTGTGCATCCAAAACCAATGAATATCAAATGAAGCAAGAATTGGAGTATACTTACGCATTCCCATATGTATAGTTGTATGCAAAACAATGAACATAGCGATGCTATCAAGCATATGTTTCCGATTCCATTGGTCCTGGGGTTAGATATCAAAAAAACAACTTATCTGCAACTTAATGAAGAAAACATGAAGCATAGAGAACAAATACAATGGCTCCCTGCCAAACAATCTGCAAAAATATGGATCCATCTGAAGGAATCAAATTCCAGAGACTCACTTTCAATTGCAAAACCTTTTTCCCTTGTTGCACACATGTGATTTTCCATTCAATACCAAAATTTGAAGGGTGTTTTTGAATTCGAGGAGGAAGTGATCCGCCAAGGGGGCGGCGACAAGATCTCCACAGCAAGACTGAAAGGGTTGGTGGCTTCGCCGGCGTCGCTGGTAGCTCTAGGGCCGGACCTGAGGCCGCTGCAAGCCGAGGTAGCTCCAGAAAGAGATGCCAGAAAAATGTCAGAAGATATGCCAGATAGAACTGCGAGCTCCGGATCTCAGCGGGCACTGCCGGACCTCAACCAGAAGGAGGAGGAAGAGGAGGAGATGACAACTCTGATGAAATCTAGACCTTCGTCTCTAGATTTCATCAAAGTCCTCGCGTCCTCTTCCCTGCCAGCAAGATTTGCCAGCAAAAATATGCCAGAAAGAATGTCAGAATATATGTCAGAACTATGGCAGACAGGTATGACAGTATTTTTGTCACCGTGGGGTCGCTCGAAGTAAAGTAATTTATTTTGCCAAGTGTACCGTTTAAATCCATTTAATGCAGATCTATGTGTAGGTCTCCTAAATAGAGGTACCCCTAAATTACCCTTTTTTCGATTATAAACCGTCCATTTTTGGGGTATCCCGCCCTATGTGTATATTAACGAGATCTGAGGTTTGGTTTGGTCAGAGATCCGCGAGACCTTGTTCGTCATGACCTTCGTGCCTCAGCTCCAATAGTCAATGGATTGCTGGAAATCCTTCATCGGAAACCATTTTTATTGTCTAAAATCGATTGGGGGTACTGGTTTGCGTTTTCCCTTCAAGTTATCCCGTCGGCGTGTTTTTGATTATTTTGAACATGTGTGGAGATGTTAGCATTCCTCCATCTGGATCGTAATGGAACAACCCCGCAAGGAAGGCGCGCACTATCATTTCGGAAACGCAACTATGTATTATATAATTCGTTTTTTAATCAATGTGCTGCCAGTCATACTGCCACACTGTTGTGTCATGTTACTATTATGTTATGTTTAAACCGGACCCAAGGTGAATAGGCATTCCAAACGCAACAAAGGCGGCCCTCGATTTTGGGGCCACCCAGCAATGGTGATGTGTGGCAAATTCTAGTGGGGAAAATGATGATTAATAGTGATTGACCATCAAATTTTGGTGGAGATCAAAACTGGGTATGGTTCAAAACCTCGCCCTAATATGTTCTGGTTGGTGGTTTGGACCATTTTTTATTTTTCCATATATATATATATATTATTATATATTGGGAATTTCATCATCCCAACTGACTTTCATATTTTTCAGAGGGGTAGGTATACCACCAAGCAGTATTCTAATACAATATTTGCACAAAATCCCATATATTTAATATATTCTAATATATTCAAAACCTCTAATACCTCCAATATTTGCACAAAACATCGAGGGAATGAGCATGCAATCCCAGCGTTTTTTTGTGGTCAACACACGGGATTTCATGGGTGAAATGACATGGTGGGAATGGCTCAGCAAGCTCGGTGAGCGCTGCGCGTGTGCGGAGTCATTCGGATCAGTCAATGCAGAAGTTGGTTGGATGTAATTGATACATTTGGTTGGGTCATTTTCGAATAGATAGAACATGTACAGTTGTACATTTCAAAAGATCATCATTAAGAATTGAATATTGTTGATTTTGAATTTTCCAAAATGGTATCTGATTCAAAATGATTCTATAATATTCTATATACTTTGCTGTCCGCCAATTCTAGTACATTCATTTTTTGCAGGGGATAGACTGAAACCACCTGAAATAGTTTCTGTCAACTACTTGAGGGTGCAGTTCGGGTCATTAGTGGTGTCAACCATATAATTTTAACATATTCTAAGCCCACTTACATGTATGGTTGGGATATATTTATCTATGTATATATAGCTTGATAGCCCCTGTACCAACGAAGCCTACTGTAACTGCAGCTCCAAGTATAGTGACTCCGCCCAGCTGCCCTGCGTGCAAAATTTGCGCCGCATGTCGATACTGGGAGTTGATGACATAGTGGCGTGGAATGGGGTGACTGGGTGAAGCTGCGTGGTTTCATGTGGTTTTTCTGCTTACCATCTGGTTATTTTACAGAGCCATGGAAAATCACCATGTTTAGTAGGTAAACCATCTATTTCTATGGGCCATGGCTTCCATGGCTATGTTAAATAAGCAGATGGTATGGGTCCAGATGCCGACCAAAATAGTAGTGATCTACCTTTCTATCAGGGGGTGCTATAGGGTACCCCAGATCAGCCACAAAGATGGCGAAAAGTGGGCTATCAAAGTGGATGGATTCCTACCGGATGTGCTAAGATCTGTGGTTTCCATAAAGTTGCAGGAAAGGGACCCAAATGATAGGTGATGTTGATTTATGGCTATGTTGACTGGGGTTGGATATACCAAGATAATCCAAGATATATCATGATATATCTACAAGGTGGGACCCCCTACTTATAAGCTGGTTTATAGACCCCATTGACTGTAGTTCTATAATGTTCTATATTCCATAAACCCTAGTTAACACTTATATAATAAGTTAACGTAGCTATCTGGGGGCATCACTTTGTACAGTTGGATGTGTAACTTGGGGTTTGAAGCAATGGCAGGCTGGTTGGTGGGTAGAACTGGGCTGCCGTCACCACTCTGAGAGATTTCAATGACTGATTAAAAACCATCACCCATGAACAAACTTCGTGGATAACTACCAGGAAATGCAAAGAATTTTTCGGAGACACATCTGAGACTGTTTCTCCTGTCAAAGTCCTTTCTACTAGCCTAGCCTCCGACAAAGTCAACGGAGGCTTTGAGAATTCTGCGGACAACTCCGTTAGACGTTGGTTTGTACAAAATGCGAATCCATGGGTATTAGATTTGTCCAATCTGGCAATCCTTTGTGGTCAAGATGGTGTCTTTTTGGATTTCGCTTTGGGGATCATGATGACCAACAAATCTGAGCCGAATTTTTAGGCGATGCAAAGCTACAGCAAAGCAAGGCAGTGGCAAAGTGTACTGCATCTCTTGCCACTTGACCATGGAGGTGATGGGGTGATTGGTGGTCCAGTGGCTCCATAAAAAAAAAACTCCCGGGACTCCCGGGTGCGCACAACGTATTTTTCAGCCATCGGAGATCTTTCCAAAACAGGATGGAAACATGTATACTTATAGTTCCCATTGGTTTGGCACAGCATCTGTTTATATCTTTTCGGAGTTTCACTCATTCGGATCCAGATGTGAGATGTTCGAAATTGTTCGAAACCCAACAGGATGGTGGCATTCTATTGAAACACACATATGCTTACTAATATGGTAAATTCTAGGTCAATCTTGCATGGATACTTTAATCCTTTAGTCTTTTGGTATCAATGGGAATATCTACTAACCAGCAAAGAATTCAATTTTTTGCCAGGTATCTAAGATTGACAATGAATTCAATGTGAATAAATCATCCCAATAAGGCCCCAATACAGGTTTATTATCGGGTATACCCCTTGGTGGGCTGATGTATAATGACCACTCTACAGCAAATGGTTGGTCAATGGGAAGGTTTACGATTGAGTCATACTGTATACTATATACTCATACCATTGACCAGCACTGTATATTACTATACTGCATTGATGTATATTGACCATTGTATTATTGGTCAATTAGCACAGTACTGTATACTGTATACTCTGTATACTCCTTGAAGCGTTCGGAGTGGAAACCACCCGAGATCTTCCGTCCTCACATCATCCATTAATTTGTGCTGCAGGTATGAGGCCCCGACACTTGGCTCTGTGCTTAGGCGTGGTGAGCTGAGCAATGGTCTCCGTATTCGCAACAACAAATGGGGAGCAAATTTAAGCTATACAAATTGAGTTTCCCCACCAAATGATAGTCAAGATTCAAAGATGCATTTGTTTTTTCAACAATGTGATTATATAATAGCAGCATGTGAATGGCATTAGTTGGGTCGTTTTGAATTTATTGATGATTGGCGAGATAGGTATCGAGCATGCCCTTGGATGAATCAAAGCTTGTGCAGCAAAGGAAGTACGACCTGCAGCTGACTTTGGTCACCTATGTCATCGCAATCAGTTCCTGTTGCTTGGAAAATCTTGGAAAGATCTTGACAGGTTTGGGTACTTAGATGGGCCATGAACTTAGTTAACTAGCTTGAGTATATAAATACTGGTTGGTGGTTTCAAACATGTTTTATTTGTCCATATTTTGGGAGTAATCATCCCAAATGACTTTCATATTTTTCAGAGGGGTGGCGAAAAACCACCAACCAGAATGGATTGTACTTGGGAGATCGTGGGTTAGCCACTGAAGAACCAGGACTCGCGTTTTTCTTTCCCATGGCCCATCTAAGATAATCTGGATCGTATCTGGATCATCCCTGCAAACCCTGGTTCAACAGTTGGACATAGTTGGACACCTAGAAATTGCCGTAATATTAGTGTCCAACTAGATATTGGATACCTATCATCTGTACTTAGTGGTTCATCCCATTTAGATCTTAGTGGGTTAGTTCACACCAGTTATAAGTGAACAAAACGCCCCTACTTAGCCCGCCCATTGTACAATTCGTGGGAAGTGAGCCACCAAGTAACGTCCTGGGTTTTCGCAGCGAACGTCTATCTCTTTTGGGACCACAAAAACTGGGACATACCCTCTGGTAAACGTTTACATAGTTATGGAAAATGGCCATTTATAGTTGATTTACCCATTGAACATTGTGATTTTCCATAGTTATGTTAGTTTACCAGAGGGTAACTTTGATCATCTCTCAATTCGAATGACAGTATGTACATTGTACATCCCACTTGCCAACCCTCAATTCACGACTTCACAACCTTTGGGCGGAAAATCGTGGGTTTTTTGGGGGGTAGCCATTCAGCTTCCGTTAGATTCGGCTGTGAAGAAAATGCATGAAAATGCGTTATCTCCAACAATGGCTAAGATTCATCTACCATGTGGACTTGGGGAGTTCAATTTCTACCTTTTGGTGAGTGACCTTTTGCACTATTGGATCACTGTCACTATTTGCGGACGCATTGGACGGTCTTTCGTGGAAAGTGGAGAGGGACCAAACTGCGGCAGTTGCTTTGGCTGTATCAACACCATATCATTGGAACAACCGGGGTGAGGATCTTTCCATTTAGTAACTGCTTATAATAACCTGGTTGGTGGTTTGGAACATTCTTCCCCATATATTGGGAATGTCAATGAATGTCATCATCCCAACTTCTAGAAACCACCCAAACCACAAACCAGTAACCCTAGTAAGTCCCCCAGCATGGGCTTTTCCATGGTTATCCAATCTAGACGTGAACCAACGTCACCACTCTGTCGATTGGGACGATCACCGAGGCTATGCATGGCCTTTAGCCCTGGCTGTTCTTGAGGAGTTCCGGCGTTCGAGGCCACACGCATATGCGAAGCATGGTGCTGCTAGATTTTCCGTGAACTGGGTGATTTGAAGAGGCTAGATATTGGTTCTATTAAAATCTGGTTGGTGGTTTGGAACATGTTTTTTTATGTTTCCATTCAGTTGGGAATGTCATCATCCCAACTGATTTTCATATTTTTTTCAGAGGGGTGGGTTGAAACCACCAAACCAGATTATTATTAGCCATCATTAACCATATATAATAACCATATATTAACCATTATTGACCATTATTATATATCAACTGACGAAGTCCATCATTTTTCAGAGGGGTATATATATATATATATATATTATATATGGTTAATATATGGTTATACCAGCCATTATTAACCATTAACCATTATTATATATGGTTGGTATACCAAGCACCAAGCAGAAATTCATGGAGCAACCGAGGCCAGGTCGTGAGGACTTGAGGATTTGGGACGTTGGCCCGCAACTCTGTTGGGATGATTTTTTGGGATGTGATACCCGGCCTGGTAAACGTTGACAAAAAACGGGGATTATAGTGGTATAACCATAGGAAAATGGAGGTTTACCCTCTGGTACATGGAAAATCACCATGTTATTCATGGGTAAATCCACTATGTCTATGGGCCATGTTCAATAGCAATGTTGAATTACCAGAGGGTAATATATTTGGGATATTGAAAGTATAAGATTTACCCTGTAATTTATATAATGTGGATTTTGGAAAAGAACATCATCTATATTATTTGGGGGTTGATGGGTATTTGGTAGGCATTTATCCAGCAATGCTGTATTTAAAGGGACTATTGAGGATTTAAGAAGGACATATGAAAAAAGATGATGGAGACATAGATGGTCAATCAATGTTCTGGGTAAATTGAAGCAACCTCTCAACAACAGCACCGGGTAATCATCCCAAACATAACTGGTTGGTGGTTTTTGGAACATGAATTTTATGACTTTCCATATATTGGGAATGTCATCATCCCAACTGACGAACTCATATTTTTCAGAGGGGTAGGCTCAACCACCAACCAGATATCAATAACAAACGTAACCATGTCCATGTTACTGTTACGGGATTATCCGATTGTTCCCAGATGTTTTTGCCGTGAGATTCTGTACATTGCCGGTCTTAAGCTATGTCCTTAAAATGTTCCAAATGCGACATGATAAAGTCGACGGATACAAACAAATGCAATGTTGCAATGGATTTGGATATCCAAAGCATTTCCCACCTGACCAGAATCAATAGCCTTTTTATTTGTTTTTCTGAACGATTGCATGGGCGTCTCTCAGGGTGGCCCCAAGACGTTTCTTCCTGGCACAGGCTACAGCAAGACATCCAGGACATCAACGCTTACAATGCAGCCATTAGCGCCTGCAACAAAGGTCCGCGATAGCGGTGTTTGGAGCCATGAAAGTCATATGAAGATTACAATGTGGGGCCCGCGTTCGATAGCTAAGTTGGTTTATAACTCCAATAACTATGGTTTATGATACTTATAACTAGGTATAGTTAATGGGGTTTATAAACCAATTTATAACGTTTGGGGGCCCACATTGTACCCTTTGGTAGTCAGCCACGTAGCAATGGAACCCGACAAATGGAGCTCTTAATGGGAACATCATCTTGAAATCGGCAGATTTCCATAAATCAGGTTGGGTTTTCACCCACAGAATCAGTCAGGAAAAACCGTCAACCAATCATTGTTTATTAGTTAGCAATATCTGGTTGGTGGTTTGGAACATGAATTTTATGACTTTCCCATTCAGTTGGGAATGTCTTCATCCCAACTGACGAAGTCCATCATTTTTCAGAGGGGTAGGCTCAACCACCAACCAGATATCAATATCCTCATGTTTCTTGTGAAAGCGCAGGTGAACATCAAACATCCAACGTTGTTTGGTATTTTTGATGCCTCACCTTGTGAAACCCACCATGTTTTGTGACAAATCTCACCAGGTCCCCAGTTTTTTTTGGTTGAAGGGAACAATTCCAGTTGAACACCCGCATTTTGATGGGAACTTTTAAGGGACCATGCTTTCCTGCAAGGTGGTGCCCCCCCAGTTATGATTTAGTTTATAACCACCATTAAGTATAGCTATATCTACCATAAACCAAAGTTATTGGAGTTATTTGCACCAACTTAGCGATTCCGAACTGGGGCACCACCTTGATCCAGTGTGGATTTTCTCTGACGTTCCATCCCATTGACCATGTCTTTTGATCACCCCGAAGACTGGACCCACACAATAAACCACGGCACACATGATGTTTACCACGTTTTCTAGTTGGGTATTTAGTGTAATTAGTATATGTATGTATATGTATGAGGGTGAAGGGATTACATTGATTACATCAAAACTGCCAATATACTGCCAATTAAGCTAAGATGTTCATCCAGAACATGTTCGGTGTTGACAGCACACATGACAGGTGGCTTCAGCTCGGCCTGAGAATGAATCACCAGCAAACATTGCTTAAAGACCCCCACTGAAGCACGGAAAGATTCTGTAGAAATGGTTGACTTTGTATAATTTATGTTTTATTTGGAGTAAACATAATGGTTTGCTGTAGATTTTCCCTGAAAAACCAATCTAGTCAAAACACGCATATTTGTAGATCTGGTTGGTGGTTTGGAACATGGCTGGATTACTGTTCCATTCAGTTGGGAATAGTAGCCCCAACTGACGAACTCATATTGTTCAGAGGGGTGGGTTGAAACCACCAACCAGCCATGTTCATTTTTCCTTCCGGACATAACTCGGACATAACTACGATGACCTCAACTTGATGTCCGAAGATCTTGAAATAAAATAACTCCTTATCATTGATCATAGTGTTTCCGCCCATGATCATTTACAGATCACATAAGAAAAAAAACATAGAAAAGCCATCAAAAAGCCATAGAAACGCCATAGATCCATAGGAAGCTGCCCCAGCTAAAAACATTGACATCGCTCTTCACTTCGCAGGTGAAGAATGGCAAAGGGCTTTGCAGCTCCTGTCCAACTTGCCTCAAGTGCCTGGAGATGGCTGTCCACCACTTGTTGGATGGTTTGCAAAAAATCAAGAGCCAGTGGTTTGAATAAAAAGATCCAGTAGCGACATTGGTTGGTGGTACCTGATATGGGTATGGATCAATACCTATTAATACCATTTTTAGGGGAATGAACATCCATTTACCAGCTATTTTGATGTTCACCAGGGGTACAAGGTTTTGACACACTGCCATATAGAGAAGTGGTTCATGAAACTTCTAATGTTTTTGTGATTCTTCTTGGGTAAGTTCAAAACTGGCGCGTGAATAACAAGAGTTGCATTATCACAGTGGAACCAACGTGCACTGGCCAGTAGAAATCATGTAAAATCATCTTCGGATGCTGAACCATTTTGATGCTGGTTGGTGGTTTGGAACATTTGGACTATGTTTCCATATATTTGGGAATAATGCTCCCAACTGACGAATTCCATCATTTTTCAAGATGGTTATTGCACCACCAACCAGTGCTTGTTGATGTCGTGCCCGAGTGCCCAGTCGTCGACGTGACATTTCGGTTCCAAGCTCCATCGCGATTCCCAGGCGCAGTTGTTGCCAGATGTGGTGACGTTCAACACGGCTTCGAGTGCCTGTGGCAAAGTCTCCGAATGGCAAAGGTGCGCGTCATCGATGATGACAAAAGGCCTAGGATTTTGGGTAGTGGCTGCAGCACTTTACATGTTATCCCAAGTAATTATACTTATTTTTTTCGGGTTTAAACCGCTCACCAGTGGTTCTAGAGGCCTATGATTACTGATTATAACATATTGTAACCAACATGTTAATGATACCAGGGAAAAATGTAACCTTGGTGGTTTTGGAAATTGTTTCATGATTTTTAAGGATCAAAATCCACTGTGGCAATCCTTGCCAACCAGCCAGCAGTTCTAGTGGAAGATAGTAATGATTGAAGTCTGTACCTCGGGATGCAACACAAATTTAATCATGAAGTTATAACATGTTATAATTACCATATCTATATAGTTATAGACTAATAGAATTACTACCAAGTCTATACAATTATAGAATTACCATGAAGTCTATATAGTTATATAATATAATGTTATATATACTATATATATATATTCTTATATGTGGTATCCATGGTATTTCAGGGCAATGACCCCATAGGGATGTATTTGAAGCGTTTGGGGATGGGAAAGAGACATAGTTATCTTTGTTTGATATTCATCTTTTGATGGAACCCAGCGTTTTCAAGTGGTTTCCATCCCAATCTCTGTTCATAGTTCTACAATTCACCAGAAAAAGATGGGGCCGGCGGCCCCCAACGAATCAAGTTCTGCCTTTGCGGCTTCTAGGAGCTTGACATTACTTCAACAGATGCAGGTTGAGGGTGAGGGTGGCGGGGCCATGGTCCAGCGTGCACAACGTGGTGGACAAATCCTCAAGAGGTCCCTGATATCTTCTTTCCTGGAACAAATGGAACAAAAACGCAATTCGTACCAATCCTAGCATTTGGGGTTTCCGAACTATTGATATCTATTGATATCTATTGAAGATGGATAGCAAGTTAGCTTTTGGATATCCGAGAATCCGAGATCTTTTTTTTGTGTTTGAATTCTTTATCCCACAACGAGTGTTGAGTACAATATCATTTCCCAGAGTTGGCATGAAGGCAACATCTACCCTCTGGTAAACTAACATAACTATGGAAAATCACCATTTTTAATGGGAAAATTCACTATAAATGGCCATTTTCAATAGCAAACTGTTAAATTACCAGATGGTAACAGGAAACCTTCAAGCCTATATTATACTTGGGGGTAAAATCCAAGGTTTCTGGGGTAGTTTTTGTTTGCCTTAAACCAGGATAGCACAGCCTTGACACTATGCTTTGGATTTGGGTTTAAAAAGCGATCGGAATTCCGAAGTTTCCTGTAGATTCTCTCCATTTAAACATCTTTAAACCAACCCTTTATAAAATGTCAATGGGACTTCCAGGATCCTTCTCTGCGAAGATTCAGCTGAGCCTGGTCAAAATGTCGAAAGGATAAATCATCGCATATCAGAGATGTCATCCATGTGTTCATGTGCCTCGTGCATTAGCTGTGGAAAAAACAAACATGGGCCTCCCATTCATGACACAAGAACGAGCTGCCTCCATGCCTAGAGATACTGTATCCATCTGTGTCATATGAAGCCATAAGGGGATATATCATGATATATCACCGTACATAGCCCTTCAATATGCTAAGTACCACGAATGAAATTTAAGTACCCTCTGGTAAACGTTTACATAGCTATTGAAAATGGCCATAGAAATAGTTGATTTACCAATTAAAAAAGGGTGATTGTCCATACAGGATGGTGCCCCCCAGTGATGTTTGTTGGTTTAGATTCACCCCATGAATACTAGTTCGTTATATCTGCGATAAACCATAGGTTTAATGGGAGTTATTTGCACCAACTTAGTTATAAACTTAGTTATAAACCATAGAAATAGTTGATTTACCTGATTTACCCATTAAAAAAGGGTGATTGTCCATAGTTTTTTGATGTTTTTTGTATGTTTTCCAGGCCGGGTCCCCCAAGGTTTGTTTTTCATGCACCTGCGAGGACTTGCAGCTGGAAGCCACGGTGATCAGCTTTGGTGCAGCCCTGTCAGCTGCCGAGAAGGCGAGGCCGAAGGTTACCGTTTCTCTAAAAATGGCTGTGACAATATGGCAGTGTGTCAAAACCAATAGTACCCCTGTAGTTCACATCAAAATAGCTGGGATTTATGGATGTTCATCCCCCTAAAAATGGTATTAATAGGTATTGATCCATAGCCATATGGGAAAAAATTAGGTTTTTTTAACCATGGGATATGGGGCTCTGATTCGATTCACACCATTGCTGCTTGGTGGTTTGGATTTTTGTTTTCCATAATACATGGGATAACTCTCCCCATTGACTTTCATATTTTTCAACATGGTTAGAACATGTTAAAACCACCAACCAGATTGTAAACCTATCAAACTTGCTGTTAAACCATGGGGAAATGATGATGAGCAATGGATGTAAGGGATTATATACGGGGGTGAAGTCCAAAATCTCGTGGGACCTTCCCATTCCGTGTTTGTCCACTGCCAGGGTCAGCAGTGGCCCCTGGCACTACAACTGCTTTCAGAGATGAAGGATGGTTTGGTTGCTGGGAACGCCACTTGGATGTTCTTCTGGCATGGACACATATTTTGGTAAAACCTTGGATGGAGACAGTATACAATGGAGAGATTAGATTTATCCAATGGATCACGGATATTACCCTCTGGTAATTTAACAGTTTGCTGTTGAAAATGGCCATAGAAATAGTGAGTTTTCCCATTAATAGCATGGTCATTTTCCATAACTATGTTAGTTTACCAGAGGGTAATTATATTTAGGGAAAGCGACGTGACTGGCGAACCTTGCAAATTTAAGGGGAAGCCTTGGGGGTTTCACAAGTTTGGGATATAACAGGGATATTAAACAACATCGTTATGGAGACTTAACAAATAAATCATCCATACAACCGGGATATCAACTGTAGAATCTGGCTGATCGGTACAACTTTGTAGAACTTAATATGTTGTCATTTTGATGGAGATATGCGTAATCAACTATATACAATTATGTGCATATTATACTATTACATTAAAGGAACTAGACAAATATAAGGTATCTAAGATTAGACTGTGAAATGGGGAGTTTACCAAGCAAAGAAGTGTTGATATAATTTGATACTACATAGCCACTGCAAACGCACAATTGCAGAGTATATAATCCAACTATTTCAAATGAGTAAACACATAAATACTGAATGTATATATATATATATATACACACCCAGTCAGTCCAAAAGACAAGTTTAACGAGGCCGTTATGATAAAGCACTGCCTTTACTTAAAGGCATCCATTAACTGATCTTATTATATATAGATATATAGATATATTATTATCATATATCATGATATATATGGATCATAATATATACTTATATGCTATCCATTGATGGGATAAATATGTGGTTGATACTGATATACCCCACCAGTCCCAATCCCATCTGCAGCAAACATCTGCAGCGGCCTTCATCTACCTCCAGATCACCCAGTGCGCCACCAGTTGGGCAGCAGGGAGGGCCTTTTTGGGCCTTTTTTCATTTCATCACGTAGCGTTTGTTTATTCGGTTAAGTTTGGCCATGTGAGCCTTCATGGCCATCAGCCTATATGGTGCCTTTTTGGCAATACTCACTGGAAGGTTCCTTCGATCACTCAGCTGGCAAATTCCTTGGATTGAACCCCATGCCAATTGATCAAACAGTTCGTTTGTTGAAATACCCCAAAAACAACATCCAGAAAATTGATTTAGCCAAATGGCGCTTCACCCATTTCATTTGATCTTCATCTCGAAAAGTATGTTCGTGTCGGATGTTCAGTTCTCAGCTGCTGGTTCGCTTTGAAATCACAATGCAGCCATTTGCAATGACTGCAAAATATTGGCAAAATTGTTTATCGATCTATTTAAGTTGAGACACTGCGTTTGCGGCAATCTCGTAATTGATGATGCACTTTCTTAGGGCACACATTGAACATCATTGAACACACAGCGTGTCAGAAAGAATGATTTCAATATGCATGATTTTGAAATGTAGGTTTCAAATCGGCTTGTTATTATTCCAAGTGGCATGCATTTTTGGCCGACCCAGCCAAAACATCAGATTGTGCCTTCAGGGTTGTTTGACATACAGATTATCCCAGTTTCAAGATGAAACTGCAAGAATACCCATTTGCCTCTGGGACAAGGCTGTCAGTAAGCGATGTGTGCGCAAGAACTTCATACCATGGGCATATATCTCATCCGCTTGCCCTGCAGTCCTTAGAGTACTGTATTAGCTATAGCAGGGAGGTCGCTGTAAGAATGATCATGATATGATGCAATCGCACATTTAAGGTATTTCTTACCCTCAATGTTTCGACAGCTGAGTCACAGGTACCGGCCACTGGACTCCATCTTCAAGTGGAACCGGTTGAGCGCATCCCTCAGAGCGGCTGGCGTATATACCCCAACATCATGGAAATACATATCTATCACCACATGAAGTTCTGATAAATTCCCCACAGTATAAAGAAGAATTTCCCCAAAGTCCTGCTTAATTCCGGTAAGTCACATACATACCGCAGTGGGTTCCAGCATGTCATGTGTAGGCCAAGGTTTTCCAACTGATTGGATCCAAGCACCAACGTATCGATTTGCTGGGACCTCCTTTTTGATGACTAAAGCCAAACAATTGGCCAACCATGCAAGAAGGCAGCGATTGTTGTACCCTTTTGCTGTCATGTAGGCCCCTGCAGTAGTAGACCATACCTGAATGTAAAACCCATAAAAAATAAGTAAAACCCATAAAAAATAAAACATGTGATCAGGTTCAGTTGATGGATATTGTATCAACATTGTGGTGTTAGCCATCGTCCCACCAAAGAAAAAATACTAATTAAAACCTCATCGTTGAGATACGGTTGACTCTTTGAACAATGGCTGCCCACAAGAAACTTTGTTCTCCTTGCACCAAGAACGGAAATCCTTATAGGCAATAGCCAGCTGTTCTCGCAATGTGAGCGTCTCACAGTCACCAAACAGGGATAGGTCCGCCAGTAGTAGCCTGGACGAGTTGGGCAGGCAAATCCCTCAAAGGTAATGCTGTTTATTGTTTTGAATTTCCTGGGAAAGGATTAAAACCCACAAAAATGGATGAAATTGCCAAAGAGTTGCAGTGCTCCGGAGTTTGCAGTTGCCATCAATCCCAAATTCAAATTGTGTAAGCTACAGTGCCGGAGAAATCCAAAGTTGAACGCCGGCAAGAGCAACAGTGGACCTAGAGGTTCCAATCTCAGCCTCAAGAATGCACCCTTCTAGTTGCAATAATTGTACCATCAAAAATAAAAAACACGGTATTTATGTCTTTTATTTGATCTACCAAGCTTCTGGCAGTAGTAGGATTGATCATGTGGGCCAAAAATTGAATATGGTTGAGTTCACTGGATGCCCACCCAGGATCGTCCGAGAAATCCCACATAGTGTTTTCATGGGCTCCTGGTTGTTTGGAAACATTACAGCGCCAGCAAAAGGTGTGCATCCTCCAATTTCTCTGAAGATCAAAGCTCAGAACGTGCCACTCCCAGTCACCGCGTAGCTCTGAGACAGCGAATCTATGGTTTCGGCCTCTGATTTCTAGTCCATTGTAGCACTTGAGTAAGGATTCCACAATCGGTTTGAGCAAGGGATTCAGAGATTGAGCCCCTAAACAAACATCGTTCTCCAGTGTATATAAGAGCCACCTGGACATTCTTGATGACTTAGGCGTCCACAAGACAACATTGAGAAAATATGCAATGATTTTCTCACCAGTTGGTGCGTATTTTGCAGCATCACCGTACAATCCCAGCGGTATGTGTTCCCCATTGGGGCTCACATCTTTCCAGGGACAGTCATAGTGTTGTGCATGGGTCCAGTATTTGGAGACTGCAGCTGCTGGAATCTCCATCCCCAAAGGTCCAAACAAGTGTTGAAGAATATGTTCAGGCAGAAAAACTGGTACTTTCTCAGGTCGTATTGTGAAATCATTTCCAGAAAGTTTTTCCTTCACCGAGGTCTCCACGAAAATAGGTTCCTTGAAGGGGTATATCCCGCTTACCTATATCCATAAACATTGAGGTAAAAACTGGTTTGGTGGTTTAAAATCTTTTGACACCAAAACCAGTCCACTGGCGGCTTCAAAGCACGACGGAAATCCCTCACTCGATTGAAGGAGCTGTAGCTGCCCAGTTTGCGAATCATCTTTGGCAAACCCGATGGTGTATCCTGATGGTGAATAATGGTTCCCCCATTTAACACACCATAATAATCAACAAAAACGGTATTCCATGGCCAATGCAACATGTACATCGACAACCGAGCTGCTTTGAGGCAAGCCTGCAGATCTCCCATCTTTTCGTCGATTGAGGCCTGAGGGCTAAAGAAGTCGGTCCAGAATTATGTTGGCCAATAAATCAGTATCAGCATGAAGTATTGAGTGTTCTCATTGATGAGATTTAGGTCCCAACCCCTGCTGCCACAGAATCCAAAACTTTGGATAATTGATGCCCTCGATGATCTTCATCAATAGGACCTGCGTTGGAGATGACTTAAACTAGTACTATTCAGGTACAGGTTTAATTTAGTGATCGGCGGATATCATTCAACCAGTCCAATTTATTTCTACGAACGTGTTTGTTTTCAAGTCGCCATGACCATAATCATCATCATCATCATCATCATCATCATCGTCAAGAGTCAAAATTATCATCATCGCCATAATCATCATCATCAACAACAACATCATCTTCATGATCAGCATCACTGCAATCACACTTTTGAAACTCTTTCAGATGATCGATGTTGGAGCTAGTTCACGTTGAGGGGCATCCCAACTCCACCTCTTCCACGCTAGGATTCCAGCACGTGGTCTATGAGGCCGGAAGAAACGGCATGGGCTTCAGGGTGCAAAACATGGGTGGCAGTGCATGTGATAATCAGAATATGAATATCTAGATCTAGTCTTGAAAAAAACATCTATTTATATATTTAACAGGAAAATCAGATTGTTGTTTTTCAAAAATTCCACATGCCATATCGCTCAACGCCTGGAAAAATCTAGCTATTCGAATTGCCACTCTTCTTGGATTTCTTCCCACAAATGGGAGCCAAGACTTTGTTTGCATTGCCTAGGGCCGACTCACAGATGCCAATTGCCTCACTCAAGATTGCCTCATCCTGGGAGAACAGGGAATCAATAGATCATATATCATGTACTATCTGTGTTTTTTTTTTTCAAAAATAGATTATACGCACTGTGACATGTATATGTTATGATAGTCCTTGATGCTGGCATCAAGGGCTGTTTGCATACGAGCCCGGGCATCGCCAAGCTCCGAGATGACCACATTCATGTCACGCTTGATGGCCTTCTTGATGTTCTCAGACCTTGGCAGCAGGGTTTTAACATATAGCGTATACGGTGGAAGTACTGAGGGATAAACCACTTGGAGGCGTTGTCCATTTCCACGTTGCAGTTCTTGATCTTCTTTGTCACTTCAGCCAAAACCTACAAGTAGAAATCTAAAGAAAAGTAAATGAGTAATGTCGACATCATCCATGCATATATGCCTTTCGTGCTTTCTTTTCCATCTCTCGAATCTTCTTTGTTTCCTCATCTTCACTTTCGGACTTCTTTCCTTTCTTTTTCTTATTCTTCTTCGATTTCTTTGACTTCTTTGACTTTGCATTCTTACCCTTAGACTTAGACTTACCCTTCTTTTTTTTCTTCTTCTTCTTATCATCTGACGACGTGCTGTCAGTGGACTTGCTATCAGAACCCTCGTCAGTGCTGCTGTCATCCTGACCACCCGACTCCCGGCACTGAAACATGTCCGTCATCAGGTCTTCATCTTCAGCGATTTCCTCGTCTTCTGTGAGGATGAGGTACTGCTCCAAATCTGGCGGCTGGATGGGCTGGTCCGATTTGACTAAACATGTATATATATATATATATTTATAATATAACCTGCATAGGGTGTAATAATGATAATTATATGAATAATATTTAGTTTGATATCTCAGCATGGCACTCATAAACACATGGTTGAGTTACAAGGGCCTGGTAAATCTGGATGATCTGGATGACCACGAACTTCATTCTTGAGATCTGGGGTGTCTTTTTTCCTTTGAATCACGGCATCTGCAACTTTAGCATTGTTTCCAAAATGTACAATAAGTTGGTCACGTGTCAGCCATCTCCTCACTCCACGGCTGGCACCCCTGTGTCGGCGAACGATTTCCCTCCATATCAGTCCTTTTTTCCAATTGCCATTGTGTTTCAAATAGTCCTCGTATAAGGTCTGCTGCTCAGCTTTGCCTGGGCAAATAAAAACATATAAATCCAACAAGATTTGATTATATATGAATTGGGTCCCCCAACAGTACTTGAATCGCTTGTTCAAATCTTTGATCTCCCTTGGACACGATCGGCCTCAGCATCGCATTCACAAATCTAGATTATAACTTGTACATTTTTCTGATTACCCCTTTGAAATAAATAAACAATATATATATATATATCCCTATATTATTGTATATATATGTATTGAGGATGCGGCTGTTCACAGAGCGGTAAAACTTCATGTACAACCGGTGAGCATTTTTCCTTGCTGCTCTTACTTTCTTTGTTTCTTCATCTTCGCTTCCGCTTCCCTTCTCTTCACGTTTTTTCTTTGGGCTCTTTTTCTTCTCTGGTGTGCTCTTTGATTTCTTTTTGACAGGACTTGCTTTCATGGGACTTGCTTTCATAGGACTTGCTTTGGGACTGGCAACTTTCATGGATTTCATCGGACTAGATACCACATTCTTTTTCCCAGGTGCCGCTTTGGCCTTGGCTTTCTTAGCCCCCGATTTTGCCTTCGGCTTCGCCTTCGCACTGGCAGGTGCCGTCTTCATGGCCAAGGGTCTTGCTGAAGATGATCTCAGCGAAGCAGGCCGCTTGAGGCATCCACTTTCACCATCATCTTCCTCATCATCATCATCATCCTCCTCATGATCACCTGAGTCATAACCTTCGAACTCCTCACATTCCTCACCATCTTCATCATCGCTAGGATCATCTGCTCGCTTTGACTTTGGGTTGACAGGACTCCCACTCTTAAGCTTCTTGGTGGGCACAGTCGAAGGAACGTTCTGTTTGTATATGGGATGTGACCTAGCTGGAATGGCAGCATCTGGCTTCTTTTCTTTCTGCTCAACAAACAGTAGTGGCACGATTCATGCAGGCTCTGGTCCCAAGTGATTCCGTACTGTCTAACATTTTGATTGTAGAGGCTGATGCAGTCCCCCTAAAAGATTTGGACTTGCTCCTAAGCCTCATTCTCGGAGTTTCAAGTGCCACAGGTGAAGTCTTCGCTTCACCAGCTGCTGGTGTCTCTCCTGGAGGCCGACGATGGGTAGCTCAAGGGGCTATATTGAACTAATAGGCTGCTATATATATATACATATAATAATCATCATGCAATAATAAAAACATATATGCGCCTCCATCTGCATCTTTCGATTTCTTTCGCCTTATAAATATGAAGATGTGATCTGATCAACAAATATATCATATAGATGAGGAGCAGACTGTTGAGCTTCTTTCTTTGCCAACTCAGCTCTTGCCTTTGCCTTCTCTAAAGCATTACTCGGGCCGGCCATGGCCCAGGGCACCAAAATGTGCCTGTTCTGAGCCCCTACAAAATGGCTAGATCGTTAAAAACGGACCTCAGAAACATCAAAAAGACTCACTGATTTATACTGGATTTTAGGGTCCAGTTTTTGCTATCCTTTTACGGGTTTTTCACGGCCGTTTCACAGTTTTTCACGGCCTTTTCACGGACTTTTCACGCAGAGCATTTTTTCACAATTTTTGCAGTGTTCCACCGAATCATGTTGGTGGATATCCAAATTATCAATTAGATCTAGAGATCATCATCTGGGCTTCCAAGGACAGTGCAGATAGAATTCAAACATCATCGATTTATATGTATATATATATATATATGATGCTGTTAGTATTATATACATATATACAAACAAATGGGTTGACAGTTGTGGCTCAGCTGGTATAATTTTATAGACTGGTTGCACCCTGTCCCTTAAAAGTCCATGGGAAAAGCAGGTTTAAACCGGCCAGCATTCTTCTCGGCAATGAGAAACTGCTTCATTGGCTCCAAGTTCGCATGACTCCAGGCAAAAGGAGCTTTCAGCTTGTTCTTCAGAGAGGCCTCGTCAGAACTGGGCTGTACAGTGGGTATATATACAGAATAGTACTTACTGATTGCTGGATCATGATGTTGAGTGCCCAGCATAGTCAGCTTCGATTTCTTTGACAGTCGCTTGCTTCTGGAAGGGTGGTGAGTTGACCTAGCATTCATCATATTTTGAATCACTGACCAAATCATTTTGGGACAAACATATTCAAAATAAATCCTTAATGATATACTAGTACTAAGTACTGCTGTCTGTAGCTAGCTAAATGGAATTGACTCAGTCCCCAGCCATACTCTCCTGGTGAAGGGATGCCACCTTCTTCCCATATTTCATTGGGTACACCTGTGTTTGTTTCAAACGAGGTCCACCTTGCCTCGGAGCACCAGTTCCAGTGAGAGGGATTTGGCCAGGTTGAAAACTCGCATCATGATCACAATACAGGTCATTATGTACACTCTAATGCCAAATGGTTGGTTTTTCAACTGGGATCCCAACACTGACGTGCGACCAGACTTCAACTGGGTTTTGATAACAACACCCTTTGACGACAGCTTCAATTTGCTTCTGAGTTCTTTGGTGAGAGGCTTCCAAAGTCGGTAGATCCACTTCCTTAAGGGCTGCCACAACGCATCGAATCATATATATATATATATATGGATTAACGCACAATTGAGGTCCCTACGGAGTTCCAATGACCATCGATAACTTTGGTGATCTTGCCCCCCAAACGCCCATCCAACTCAGCAAAATCAACGGATCCGATAGTTGAACAACTAGTGTATGAGATGACTGAATCCTGCAAATTTGGAATATATGAACAGTCTCTGGGAATCTGGCAAGCGTTGAAGTCGAATTTTGAAGTACTTGTTGACTGCACGCTTCAGAAACTTCAGGTATGGAAAGTGGGGAAATACACTTGAATGTGGCTGCTCCACTAGCCAATCACATGATCGAATCATCGCCAGCAGGCACAAAAGCATCAAGCGGCATGCTAACCTCAGGCCGGCGACTTCTGGACTTTCCAGCACCCCTATTGGAATCCTAAATCATATAGTTCTTTTGCAATGAAGGCAAGTAGCATATTCGACTCTTGGATATAGCCTTTCTGTTGATCACCAAGCGGTCGGGTTTTTGACCGTTTCGAGGTCCCTCGATTGAGGAATATGAAGGAATGGCATGGTAACCCGGCCGTCAACAGTCCTGACTCACGTAGACGTAGCACTTGAAGAGTTGCACGTGCAAAACCTGTCCTCGGTACAGTGATGCCCCATATATATATATATAGTTATATACACTAAACATCTGGGGGAATGACAATGTTCCCAAGTCATCCAGCTTCGTTTCTTCAATTTCAAGGTGCGTCCTCGGCAAAACAACCAGGAACTTTTGATATAGGCGAATAGCATTGAGATTTATCTAGATCTAGATCTAGATATAGTAATACAAACATATATATATATATACCTGGGATATATATTATATCACCTATCTAGATCACCATTTGCATTATATTTATTTATTGCATTTGCAGTACTTGATGATCAATGTGAGGCGACGACGTCGTCTCACCCAATTGACCTTGCACTGCCGGTGGCTCAGGGGTGCAGTATATACGACGTTAGTCAACGATATATATATATATATAACTGCAATAAAATTTGTTGAGGTTTGAACTGAAGCTTTTCCAAATGGCACCCTTCCCAGAAAAGAAGTCAGCGTTGGTGACATCCTGAGCAGGACACATTGGAGATTGAGGTCATACATTGAGGTCAAAAAATTGAGGTCAAGACTCTTTCATATGACTCATAGCTCATCTGGGTAATGTAGTCACACCAGTGTATCCTGACAAGCGGGGACGGTTGGTTGACCTGGGCTGTGCTGGTGGCCAAGCATTGGCTGAGGCTACGGCATAACCACTGGAAAGGAGAGTGCCAACAAGGCCCGAACCATTGATTTGGTCAGTGCCAAATTGGAGCAAGCCCAATCGGGTTTTTGACCCATCCTTTCGGATTTCAAACCGGTTTTCACCTATAGATTGATGCTTCAAATTGCTGTCAGAATTATACACATTACCATCGATCCGTGATGCCATGGACTGCATTGTTGTAATTCATGTGTTTTGCAGGCACTAACACCCAAAATCTGACCTGGCCAGGATATCGCTAATTTAAAAAATGGTGGTCATGATTTTGGGGGTAAGTATCTATGCATGCATGCAGTGGCAATGCATCACATCTTTTTCTTTTTCGATTCACTTCCGGATTCCAAAATCAGAGCTATGAGGACCACCCGGGATGGCATTGCTACAGCTCGCATTCAATTGCTTTGAATCAGTGAGATATATAATAATTATACATGTGTGTCTTGTGATTGGGGTTGCTCACAATCATATCAATGATTTGATTTAGCAAGCTAAGCCAAAAGCTAAGCCAATTCTATGGTGGACACGGTGGGCCATTCCCCAGGCCAGCTCATTCAAAATGGGGCCACGACGGTTGCCACAGAGGCCGCAGGGTCACCACTGGGCACATTCCTTTGCCGCTTCCCACCTGTTGGCAGGGAGATCCCCTTGGCCCCTTTAAAAATATCAAACAAATATTACTGTAATCCAGTAGAATTTGGAATGGTTTGATCCCAATAATCATTGAGCAATAATATTGACAAGATTCTGGGGGCCGCACGCGTCAGCCACTGATGCCATTTTTGCATACCCCAGAGTCAAACCGTGCTGGGCATTCACCTGTTCGTTCATCCCCCCGATGTTGCAAAAGTCCCCATGGAATTTCGAAGTACTAGATGCATGAATGAATATTTATAAATACATGTGTATATAATTATATATATATATATAGCCAGGCCTTAAACTCTGTGCCCCATTTTTTGTTCACTTTCTCCACGGCTTTGGGTTCAGCATTGTAGATGTAAAAGGCGCGCCCATAAAACCTCGAATCACAAGGTCCCACATTTAACAATTCAAGTTTGGAGGACTGGTACTTTTGCAGCATTAAGCCAAAACAAGATTGAGACCCCCTGCACAACGTTGATACGTGAATCCCCGCCAGGCTTGTAGATCGTCCAGGACCTGAAAGAGGCAGGGAACTAGCTGGGTTGATATGTGGCCATGGCACAGGGAATGCAACAACTGATTTATTTCATGCTAGAATGCTAGAACAAAATGATCTTAGTCCAACACTTTTGTCCGGAAGTGAGGTCAGGAATCTTGAACAAGCCATCCTTGATGGCTTTCATCTGCTTCATGACTTCAGAGTCCTGCTGCTAGACTTCTAGCTGGGAGGGGAATATTTTTCAGAATAAATGAATATCACCAGCAAAACATTCAAAGATTGCAATTGTGTATATCCGATCCTCCATTCTTGGTTTCTTTTTTGGCTGTGGGTTCTCATCCAGATCTTCCTTTTCTTCAACTTTTGCTTTAGACTTTCTCTTTGCTGGTGCTGCTGATGCTGCGGATGCAATGTTGGGTTCATGTTCCTTACCTTCATCATCAGGTTTTTTTGGCTTAGCACGCTCACGCTGACCAGCAAGGTTGGCAGCTGGTTTTTGACCAGCCCGACCCCGGCCCCTACCCCTGCCTTTGCCTCGGCCTCTTGATGAAGGCCTCTTTATGGCAACCTCTGAAAGATCTGAAGAGTCTTCTCCTCTTTGATCGGGTTCCCGGGCTGCTTTGCGGAGAGCTTTTTGGGCCTATCAAGTGTCAGACACAACGCTTGCTGCTGATATCATGAATATATATTCAGTATATTTTTGAGCAATCACTGATGATAAAATATATCATGCTTGTGGCTTGTGGAATACTCCTCACCAGGTCGTGCCTTCTGCAGATCATCGATGGAGTTCTCTCTCTGCGCCAAGCGCTCAGTGGCTTGATGCGCTTGGAGTGGAAGTTCTGTGGGGACGACCAATGGCTTTGAGTCCTGGAATACCCATCAAAGTAGGATTGACCAAAAATACAAGTTCTGAAAATTATAAATTATTATATAAATGTATTTGATCATGGAATTCAGGACTGTCCTTGTAGGTTCCGGCGGTATTTGATTCCGGTTGATCTTCAAGTTCTTCAGATTCTGCATCTAGATCATCTTCTTGTTCATCACCTAGCTCCTCCCCATCTTTGAACAGTTCCTTCTTGGTGGATCCCAATTGCGACGAAGAACAACTTTTCAATTTCCAGGCCCTTCTCATGGCTGGTTTCTTTTGGGGCGTAGGAGACGGTGAGATCCCCGAGTTGTCATCCTGACTCATTGGATGCAAATCCACATAGACAACAACTGGTGATGGCTCACCACCATCATCTTCATCCTTTTTCTCTCCTTCTTCTACTACTTCTACTTCCTCTTGCTGAGGACTTGGCTCCGGCACGCTATCAGCACCAGCGCCCTCAGCCTCAGACATGACGAGGGATGGTGCCGACAGGGGTGCTACTTGTCAAAAAATAAAAACAAGTTGCAACATTCCAGATCTAGAGTTATATATAGTTATAACTTCGGATTGATCGAGGGCCTGACAGAATCCTTCTCGTTTTTCTGTTCATCTTGGTAGTCCTGCTGGTCAACCATGCATGTATATGGCACGATTAATCTAAAGAATTGTTGATACAGGTCCTTCAGAGCCATGTTGTAGCAAATCTTCAGCGTCTCCATATCGGTGTGTCCCGACCTCTCATGCAGGAAATTTATAGGCCTTCACTGGGGAACCCTGACATTATAATTCCAAACAGCCAATGTCCCAATTGTTTCCCAGCCTTACACCTGGGTTTCGTTTGGCACGGTAGGCCACATAGGAAGCACATCCCCGGTGGATATCTCCTTCGGTTTCCAGCCAGTCCTGGTGCATGGCAGTTGGCATCAGGCGGCTAATCTAGATCTAGATTGTTAAAACTTTGGGTGCAAAAATTGCAGAAAATAAGTTCCATCCTCCTCGTCATCTTTGTTCTTAAACTCATTGAGTCTGTAGGTAGAAGATATGATTTTGAGGGCAGCCTCTCAGTCATGACTGTTGGCACAAAACAGCATCTACGATGGTGTGCATGCGGTCTATAAATATAGGCAAAGTGTTTTGGCCTGGCCTGCACTGACTTCTTGGTTGGCGGGTCCCCTACAAGTTCTGCCGTTGACACCCACCTCATCACAAAGTCAAAGTTCTTCGGATCAGTCACCTGCGGCCAGTGGATTGATGTGGTTATCAGGCTATCAATGTAGGGTGTTGTTGAACTCATAATTTTGGGCCTGCTTTGCGTCGATAATTCTCTGGCCAATGTCCAAAAAGGAAAACACCAGTGGAGCCTGCAGCCAAGGCTGAATTTCTAAAACAGGAAGTTGAATAGATACAAATTTACAAAAAACATCCAGGTTATAGGCCTTGGGATTTTTTCTGGCACGTTTCAAGTCTTTTTTCCTTTGGGAGATCCACTCAGGCGTCAAGAAACTTTGGTAAAATTCCTGGCACGGATCCACATCAGGGATACTGATATGCATGTATGGTATGACCCCATCCTAGGACAAAGAAATTGGCAGCCAAGTCCTTCAGCAGCTCTACTTGCTGAGGCTTGGGTTTGGAGTCCGGCATCAGCAGCGACGAGCGAACACCGGGATTATCTCCCATCCCCGTCCCCATATCCCCATCATAAAATTATAATAACAAATATTATGATATATAAATACATAAGAAGGATGATCTAGATGATTTCTTTGGATGGCCATGCAGCCCCAAGTCTGCTGTGAATGTGCCTGGAATTGAGCCAGCACCATCCAAAGATTATAACATATGTTTTTCGTACTTACAAAGTGAAATCTATACCACCAAACTCATGTTAGGCACCATGGGCAAAGTTGCAAGGGCTTTCTGGGTGGATGGCACCGTCATCATCATCATCAGTTGAACCTCCATCCCTTTGGGAAAGACCTCGGCCATGAAGGGTTGTTGATAATTTAGACTAAAGTTGTTGGACAAAAACAAAAAGAATATCTAAGTGGCTGGCGTTTGCGAAGGGCTTGGCCACCACGTCGCATTATGAAGCCAAACGGCTCCGCAAAATCAATAGGTTAACATGTACCAGAAGTAACACATACATGAAGCTATATGATCTTCAAGACATCTGAAAACATAGCATCTTCCAAAGGCTTAGTTAAACTAGGCCGTTAACAAAGGCCAAGTTTTACTTGGTCGAGGAAGCTCTGGGACACATACTGTATGTACAACTGTTATATATTTTTTTTTTCCAACACTACATACTCTACAATTGCCATGATTCTGGTTCCCAACAAGAATGGAATGGTAACAAAGTTTGCACGCAGCAAAGTTTGACAGGAGTTTTTCCTGGGATTTTTTTGGCGATTTTGGACTTTGGGGATCATCAATTACCATCTGGTTATGACATTGCCAGTTTGCCATGGAAAGACCCATCCATTTTTAATGGGAAATATCCACCATTTTTAATAGGTAAACCATCTATTTCTGCCATGGCTTCCATGGCGAAGTGTTAGTCTGTTAGTCATAACCAGATGGTAGTGTAGGCCGGCACTTGGTGATCTGTGAAACCCCCTCCGCTCCACCGCAGAGAAAGCAAAGTGCCGCATGCCCAGGTGAAACACACATGGAGGATTCAGTGAGATCAGCATTGGCAGATACCCTCTGGTAAACTAACATAGCAATTGAAAATGGCCATAGAAATAGTGGATTTTCCCATAAAAAAATAGTGATTTTCCATAGCAAACTGTTAGTTTACCAGGCCGGGTATTGGAAAAAACCCGCATCAGTGGCAGATGAGAGGCCTCACCATGCATTTTTCGCGGACCAATGAGTGGATGGACGCACCATGAAGCAACAAATATCACCAGCTCCATCGCAGCAGCCATGCATCAGTCTTGAATAAGTTACCCTCTGGTAAATTAACATAGACCCTGAAAATGACCAATTTATAGTGGAAACTGGTCTTCCAACCCCTATCTGGCAGGGTCTATGTTAATTTACTGGAGGGTATACTTTTTTTTTTGCTATGGAAGCAATTTTGATTTCGGGAGTGTTTTCTTACTTGATGTCCAACAAATTTTCCCACACAGTAATTATAACTCCACCAGAGGAACGGTAACACAGCCACCAGGAAGTTTTGGTCGAGCGAAAGGCACTCATGTTGACCTTTGACTCCCTTCACCAGGTCATTCAATAGCTGTATCATGACTACGTTGATTGAACTTCGCATTCGTACCAACTTTCGTACCTGTCTACTTTGTCCAATACATTCTTATACATCAACCCACTAAAGGTTTCAATTATTATCCCAAAGTTGAAGATAGTGACCTTATGTAAAGAAAAAACACTCCCCAACTGTGGGACTTTTCAATCCTTATTTTTTGGACGATGTCTGTAACGAAAAATCACATCATTCCCATCCCCAAAAAATCCTCCATAGTTATATTTGTGGATGTAGAAAACCACTATCTGATTATCTGCTTGGTGATTTGGAACATTTTCTGGTTGGTGCTTTGGAACATGGCTTTTATGACTTTCCATATATTGGGAATGTCATCATTCCAACTGACTTTCACTCCATCATTTTTCAGAGGGGTAGGCGAAAAACCACCAACCAGTTATATAGTTATTAACCATCATTAACCATTAATAATAACCATTAATATTAACCATTAACAGTATATTAGCCATCATTAATAATGATGATTTTCCCATTTTCCCCGTAGAGATGATGATCATCCCATCAGGTCATTGTCTTCAGTGCCGCCATCAGCGCCTGTGAGAAAGGCGCGCCGCAAAAAACGAAAGCATCGACAGATGACCTGTGACCGTTTGGGACCCAAACGGTACCTCAAAATAGACAGATGACCTGCTTCTAATGGATGTTTATGGCCGTTTTTTTTTTTTCAATTACCCCAATTATGGTAATAATTGTGGTAATTTAACATAGATATTGAACATGGCCATAGAAATAGTTGATTTACCCATTAAAAATTGCCATGTTCAATAGTTACCATCAATAATTATGGTAATAAATGGTAATACATAATAGGTTTTGACTGATCCCCAGATGACCTGTGATGAACACCGATTCATGCGACGACTTGTCATGAACAAAAAATACCCAACTCAAAGTCATGGAGACTTCATATACGAATTCATATGAGTTGGCATGAGTTGGTGCGAGTTCGTGTGAGTTTATAAAACAAAATCATTGGGGTAAATTAATGATCATGAGTCAGCAGTGACTCGTAGGGGAATGTCCGCATTTTTTTAGGGAAGAACAAACAATACAGTAAGATGAACCCAATGTGGGCAACAAATTCTGAGATTGGACATCTGCGTGTTTTGTTGTGTTTTTCTATGGTGTGCTTATCGCACACAAGTATGTCCGGAAATTCAGAAATATCAACGTTCCCAAAGATGGTTTCAATGTGTATACTTATATACATTGTAATTTCGCATGTATAGTACAAGTAGGGGACATCAACGGTTGACATATCTGTTTTTTTGGGCACAAACACAAGTAATACTGTAATTAATTGTGATTGGTTGCTGTACTTTTTCCAATGGTATTTCCAGTACGATCACCGAACCACTATCTAGTTGCTGGGAAGCACACATGCGCAACAGTTCGATGGTGCATGTGGGGTTTTGTATCTACCATCATACATCGGCTGATGATCACATCACAGTTGACGAATATGTAATATATATATATACCTAGGAACCCAAATGAATGTTTTTTTTTGATCATACGGCCTCAACCATTTTTTTTGGTCATTACGGCTTACGGGTGTTTCCCAATTTGGGGGTTCAGCCATAATCACACACAATTGCTTCACCCCCTTTTTCTGTGCTTTGGACCATCAGCTTCAAGCGGGCCCGTCATCTCGGCGAAGCTTCTCTTCGTCGGCTGCTGAGTGTCAGGGTTCGGGCTGTTGACCCACGCTTTGTTTGCCATCACAAGATACCTTTGAAGTACTCTCAATCCAATTGCCCTGGGGGAAATGCGTCGGCTGACGCGACAGCATCTCCCCACAAAGTCCTGAAATGAGACATCCCCAGGGAACGGAAAATACAACAGTGATGACACATACTAGGATAGGACCACATAACGACCAACATATCAAAATTCAAATAAATTCAAACTAGACTCCTCATCAGCCTGCACTGACTCCGCTAGGATGTTCAGTGTCCATTTGTTTTGGGCTCCAGATACCAAACGACGCCAGTGATGGTCCAACATGTGAAACTTAACATAGATCGGGAAGCGTGATTTTCGCTCAGTGAAGCACCTATAGGCAAGATTTGCATAGATACGTAACCACTTTCTTCCGTTGTTTCCAGCTGCAAGCGCTTCATTGGACGTCAGCCACAACCCAGACGAGTAACGAATTGAAAAAGTGTCGTTGGCCGCTTTGACAGCTTCAAGAATCATCAAAAAATACTCGTCCTCATTGAATTGATTAATCCTCCCTGTCAAGAACCATTCCACAAACCTGTGGTAGATATGCGTGTCAGCAAACTTTGACCAACCTCCTTCAGGTAAGACCTGGAAGCTTGTAAGGCCAATTCTCTCCGCAACAAATGGACCTGAATGAGGAAGGTTGCAACCCGGCCGTTTGGCCCACTGACGTAGGAGAACATCCAACTGGGAAATTTTGTCTTCCCTTGACCCCGGCAAAAGAAGCAAACATTCAGCCAGCACTGAAGCTATGAAAGTTTTACCTGCTCCTCCATGGTAGTTGTGCCAAACATCAGTCTTGAGATAGTCATGGGGACGATCGATACAATGAAACAATTGCAGCACTGAAGGTCGTGTAACCCAAGGATCAACTGTAGCAACCACAGACCATTGAGCATCTATGTTGAAATCTTCAAAAGGCCCCCCTGGCTTTGTGCCAGCCAAACACATCCAACAAACCCCAGGAGGAGATTTGTTTTCCTCTGACCTGTGCGCCCTTTGCCAATGCCTCGTCAGGTCTCCAACGGTCCTCAAAAACGGAAGATCCCCTTTCACACCTAAGCAAGCGATGTTCCATCTTTCCCCTGCGTAGGTAAACCCAATGTCTTGAAGTTTGAGGAGGTCATTGATCATCTTGTTGAGTACAGCCTGGAAATTCTCCTGAGTAAGGATAGGGGGCTGAGTGGGATTAAAATTAATGTCACAGGAAAGGACAACCAAAGGCAATCTAAGAGGATAGAAAATGAATAATATCATAGTCCCAGAATCTGGTTTCGCCTTGTAATGTTTCTTTGGCATTGCAACAAACAGCATTCGACTGTTGAAAGAGCTCCCTTGAAGGTTGATACCCATCTTGAGTTGACGAAGAGATCTAATTGGATGTCTTTTGAGGAAAGGTTTGCTGCCACGACCAATGGCCCCTTGTAGGCTCAATATCATGACACCCGATCGTTTGAATCCACGACCTTCATCACCATGAATGTAAACTGGAATTGTTCGTGATAGCGACAGCTTGTTTTCAGCAGCAGCTCGAAAGACTCCATAATCTGGCCATTCAAGGCTGTAACGTCGCCAAAACTCTAACAACATTGGTTGCACTTGTTCCATGGGTTGTTCCCCAAACAACTTGGACAAGTTGTTGGATTGAACCAAGTAGTCAATGGTGTCAAGCATACTGAGCACAGGGTAGCTATCACCACCATCCAAGTCAACCCAGGAAACCGGAATCTTCAACGCCAGGTTGTGCTTCTCAAACCTTGGTTGGGGCAGGGTTCAAAGTTAAAAAGTGCAAGTTGAAATGCAACCCAAAGCATCCCTAAAAAGAATAATTGCCGTAATTTTTATATGGGATCATATGGAGTCAGCTTCAGCTACGTCACAGTTTATGGCATTCGTCTTCTGCTCTCTTAGTTGGCACACTTGCAAGACGGGAAGTGATTGGGCAACTTGTAGATCCATAATGATCGACTGCGGCCTTGCTCATCTCAGCTACAGACTTGGCGGTGGCCTGGGCGATCAAAATCCAATCGTTGGGGGTACAATAAGCTAGAGATCTGAAAAGGGTCATGTGAAAGAGATCATGCGAAAGAGGTCATGTGAAAAAGATCATGCGAAAGAGATCATGTGAAAGGATTCATGTGAAAGAGATCTGGTGAAGGAGATCATGTGAGAAAAAAAACTTTGAAGCAGGAGCTTTTGACCTTTTTCTTTGCCAGGGATCGCTAGCGTATGTCATGTAATTTTCAGCATCACGTAGGGCAATGGGAGCACCACGTGGGAACAACAGCGTGCACATTTAAGCAAATTTGCACAACAGCGCAAGCCATACTGCATGGCCTAGCCATAACGAATTGGCAATTGAAAAAAGCCCACTCAGCTGCCACAGCTCACATTTTGATCGGTTTCATCACGGTTCACTTCCAAGTTGATGAATTTCCAATTGCTAATGACCGTATCCAGAACCTGTAGTTGCTCCAAATCACGGAGTCTTTGCCTTGCTTCAAAGGCATGCTTTTCAAAAGGCCGTTTGGGTCCTGCCACAAACCCCCAGGGCAAGTCTGGGTCGTGAACACCCAAAGCTTCAAATGAAGCCTTCAATGAGGCCAGAATTCTTTCCCTTTTCTCAACTACACGGGCTCGAGTATCCATGGGGAGCTGACGACTAAACTATTCTGATTTTTTGTTTGTCTTTTGGGCCAAATCTCCAGAATGGTGGCTTGTCCAAAGTATCCAAATATAATTCATAGTTTGATATAGTTTTTTTTTTTCACCCTTTCCCTCTTGGGTCCCCGGCACCATTTGCAATGCACGATGCTGCATGCTTTCCCATTGGTCCAACAACACCTGGCATGGCCAAGGTGCTGATGCGATGGCAATGGGATCTACAGAAACAGTGGGAAGGCCAGGGATGGGTCTTTCTGGGCATGCTGCACTGCATGGATAAGATTTGTTGCACTACCCGTGGACGATTTTTTTTTCATGGAATTCACGCTAGGCCCAGGTGAGCATGTTCAGGGTTGACTCCAATGCAACCACACGCTTGAAAGGGCTGTGAGATCGATCCAAAGCAAATCATTTCAGAATTGCAAAACCCCATTTCATGAAGTTTGCCTTTACTTGGCAGACTTGGCTTTCGCCTTGCTCTTTGCCTTCGACTTTGGCACCTTTGGTGCTGGCAACTCAGAATTGGTATCGTCGTTCTCAGACTTGCGCTTGGTCCGGGCAGATTTCAAAGCCGGCCTTAGGTATGACCATGTGGTGATATACCGTGATATGTGTATCAGACTTTATAAGATCGATTCTACTTCAAATATATATGATATAATATGAATGAATATACATATGCACATGTATGTTCACACTGTTCTCACCAGAATTTTCTGGGGCGAATGCTGGGCTTGGACTTCTGCACGTGTAGCCTTGCTTCCCCTGGGACGGCAAAAAACATAAACCCCATGGTTCCACCACCCATAGAAATCCAGTTGTTCAGAGTGGTTTTAAATCAAGGCACAAGACTTCTGCGTATTCCAATTGCTTGTCAATGTTCTGAGCCAACCTCAAAGTGCCGGGGCTGATGGAATGTCAGTAATGTTTTTGCTATATACCATTTTATAACAATAGATTCAACATGATTGTGCCAAAGAAACGTATCAAACGGTTTTGTCTTCACTGCACGGTAGCGAGCCAGGCTTGTAGCCAATGCATCATAGTGAGTGTCCATGGCTTCATAGGCAGTCTTGAGGATCGACTTCACACTTAGGGTATGGCTTTAAATGAGATGATGCAAAGGTCACTCATGAAAACAAATACTGTTGATTCA